ATTGAGGTCTTTATTGGTTTTAATTGAAAAATCTTTTCAGAGAGTCTGATTACTTTTTTCATTTATTTTATGCATACAGTAAAATATTTTCCTAATTTTTCACCTAGAATCTAAATGCGAGTTAGCATTTGAAGCTTTACCTCTAAACCATTTGAAATGAGCTTTTATTACAGAAATTGCATGTGACAGCTTAATTAACAGTGGATTCTTGACCTTTAACATGCTGGAGCTAGAAGCATTTAAAAACCAGCCATTGGATATACAGTATATGCATGATGTTTTACTAGTTGGCATACACGGCAGTGTAAAGCAAAGTCCAAGGGTCACCAGAATAATGAGGTAAACTGAAGTCAGTAAAATTGAAGTATGTAGTTCAAAAAATTTTATGTGCATGTGATACTGTATGTACGTATGAGGGAAAGCTGCCAGATTGCATAAAAACTATTTTCGTGCAGGATGAAAATAATACTTTCTCTGAAAACATGAACGATCTGGAGCCTGCAAGGAAGGTGTGTAATTCAGTGCARTCACCGTGCTGGTGGCTCAAGGAGCAGTCCTAGAGGAGCAAGCGTGTGTGTGTGAATATATATATGTATGTATATGTATATACACACACACACAACCTAAACTAAATGAGCTCACACAGAGCTGTGCCGACCCCTGTGTAGGGGCACTTAGACCCCGGCTGCTGGCRGGATGGTCGCAGCGATGTGACCTTTGTGTGCAAAGCCTGGGGTCTCCCCCAGGCTCCGTGTTGCTGCAGTACCAGGTATGCAGCAAAACGTGCCCCGAGCCCCGCTGGTTCTGCCTGGCCACATGAAAATAGCTACAGGGGCCGCAGCTTCTGTGAGCAGCAACACCACGCATTGGGTTTTCAGCAATGGGGCAAGAGAGGCCTTTGAGAGCTGGATTAGGATCTTAACTGTGAGTGAGTAATACCCGGGCCGGCAGGCATTCCCATGGATTTCAGKAAACTGTGTTGCAAGGGGCCATTCGGAGTGAGCGAGGGGATAGGAATCCCACTCCTGCTCCTTCTGGAGCATTCCTCAAAACTCTGGGTTGCGTTTGGGGAGGATTGTGGGCTTTGTTTGGGCAGCGTGTGGGTGTATCCGTTGGACCTGCTTCCCCTTTGGGCTCTTGGGCAAAACACGGAGCGCTCCTGCTCCTGGAAGGCTGGGAGCTTCCCGGAACTGTGCGCACTTGCGAATTGTTTGTCGACATCGATATGCGATATCCCGTAAAGTCTGTTTTCAGAATCGAAACTAAACACGGGCAGGAGCGAGCGGCGAGCTGTGTAAATAGTCTTTCTAGGGGTATCGTGAGGTGCTTGTGCTCCAGGGCCGGAGGAGTAAGGCCTGCTTGTCCTTAACTCTCCCTTCTCCTCGGACTTGCGTGCGAGTGAGCGCTGCGGCCCCGCACATCGCCGAGCGCCCCGGGGAAGGCGCGGGCGCCTTCCAGGCCCTACCGACAKCCCTCACATTTGCGGACCTGTGGATGGATGGATGTGTTTGCGTTTTCCCCCTTCTCTTTTAGTAAGGCTGCGGCTCAGGCCGGGGGAGCGAGGCGCAGGCTCCCGCTGGCGTCACTCCCTTGGAGCAGTGACGCACGCGCCTGCGCCGTTTCTGCCGCATAAGTGGGTGGTTTATAGGCTGGGAGGGAATGATTCATAAATTRGGTAGAGCCTGTGCCTTTCCCGTTACCCTAAYGATGTGTGATAGGAGGCAGTGCAAGCCTTTCCGTGCAAACCTGCTTTCAAGCCACTGCCTTGTTAAGCAGGCACCTTCTTGCTCTCTAGACTGCCTTSTCAAGCCGTACCCAGGGTAAAATGCTAATCCGGGGCATAAAACGGGGCATTACCCAGGGCCAAAACTACAGAGAGACTTAGCGGTCTGCCAGTGGCTAATGAAAACACCACGCCTTGCAGCATCCTGTCTCTTGACTGCAGTTTTTGGAGGCTTTTGCAACCAAGATGACTAAGTACAGGATACTCTTGGAAAGCAAGAAGAGCAGTTGGTCCCTTTTGGGGAAATGCGCTGGCTTGTAGTGGAGGGAGAGAGGGGGACATATTTAAAGCAACCAAGCAGGCTCCCGCTCAGATCTGAGCAGGCTCGGGTGCGGGATGCAGCGAGCAGCACCGCTTGCAGGGAGATGGGAAYTGTGGCGGGGAGCGGTGCTGCGGGTGCGCGGCTGCGGTGCCATGAAACTCTCTGCTCCTAGCCTTCCTTATTAGAAATCTCAAGCAAACCCATGGTTAATAAAGCCAGCTCGTCTCATTAGCCCCACTTCATAGTTATATTTATAGAGGTTAGAAAAGCTAAATATTTTTCTTTGTGGTTGGAGTGGCGTCATGAGAGCTCCCTCTCTTATACAACCCGTTTTTACTGCGTGAATTGCGACACAGTTTTGGCCTTAGTACCCAAATCTTGGTACTTAAACAAGCAGGGACTGGATTTTCGGTTTCTCAAGATTGGTTCTGAAGTGAAAATTGTGGATTCTGGACTTAGACCAGAGTGCAAATGATTGTGGTTCAGGTTAGATATTTGAAGCTGCAACTGAAAATTCTCATAAATATTGCTGCATGCTTTTTGATTTTTTTTCAATTTTCTTTCTAATCTCTAATTTCATTTGGTAGTATTGGAAAAAAATTGTTCCCCAGTTGGAATCTCCATAGGCACGGTGTAGAAATATTTTATTCTGAGAGAAAAAAGGACTTCAAAAGCAATATGGCTGCATGGAATTCCCATGTGCTGCTCTCCCATTTATTGCATCTGCCCTGGAATGACACAGGGTCATTCCTATTCCTATTCCTATTCCTATTCCATTTCCTATTAACTACCTTCATGAGCAATCAGAATGAAGGGACTTCATTTTATGTACATATGATCCAACTTTTAATTATCAAAGAGAAGCCCAAATAGTAAAAATGAGGAGTTAGTGCTAGCTGGTGAATATCCGATCCTTTAGATACTGGCTTGTAGGCGCGCGTGGTAYTTGCTTTAGCAATGTCCCTGCAGCCAGGAGCAAAGCGTGATCCCGCTGTTATGCACCTGGGCACGTGTTTGTCTCGTCCCGTGCATGCCCTTTGCAGCAGATACCMCGCGGGAGTCGTTCACCTCGTCACCTCCGGCACAATAATTGTGAAAGAGGTTTGTGGTGGGGTCATGGTGGATCTCGAGGAGATGTCATGAGTGTTTGTGAGGCTCTGCTCTCTGGTAGCGCAACCACTAGCCTGTCCTCTCACCTATTGACTCCCAAAGCAGATGCYCGCCTTTGAGTGTCTTAAGTTGTTCTCTAGACTATATGGAAMCTTCAGTACTAACAAATAGCAAGGGGTACCCATGGGCTTCCTGTGCGCTCTACAGAACAAGGTTCCTTTGCAGAAGAAGGTTCAGCAACACCTTCCAGGTGATGCTGAACACCAAACCGGGCATGGGCTCTGCAGGCACCTGCCAACACTTGCCTAGCTCCTAAGAGATCTTCTTCCTCTTTAAAATGTGTTACTACATATTAATGCTCTTCTGTTTTACACGGCTTTACATTGTGCTAGCCGTGATTGGAACAGTTTCTAGTATTAAGTGATGTGGCTAATATTTGTTGAATTCTTTGTTTTTCCTCATCCTCTTCCGATGTGTTTAAGTGTTTTTTTTTTTGTTTTGTTTTTTTTTTGTTTTGCTTGACTTTTTCATTCATTCCCCTTTAAACTTTGTTTTATAGCTTCCTTGTCTTATAATAAAATTGGAAAAAGCGGATTATACGATGCTTCGTTTTTAGGAGGCCTTGCAAATGGCAAGCTGCCACTGGTGGTTCTAGAAATGACTGTGTAATAGCRGCAACAAAAATTTTGTGGTTAATCTTTTCCACATCATGTTCTGTGCTGGTCCAGGCTGTGCTGTTTGAACCGATACAGTGTTTCAGGAGTTCACAAAAAAATAAGTTTATTATGTGATGAAATGACTCAAGTGCAAAACCTCAACTGATGCAAGTGAAGGTAACACTTGTATTATCAGCAGAGCTACATGGGGTTGGAATAGCAGAAGGTTTTTCAACACCTATTAGTGGAAATGGTTTGTGGTGTTCCAAATTTTTATTTATTTATTTTTAAAGCAACATTACAGTCAGTGAAGTTTTCTCTTAAAATCCTATCTCAAGTTTGTAATAAGTGTAGGCCTCACATTTCTTATATGTTCAGTTTTGCTTTATGCCCCTCGGTGGCTCAGCTTTACATTATTGCTTCATAAAATGTCTTTGTTACTTCCTGCTCTTTTCTTCTCAGTGGAGGCCCAAGGAGGCTGACTCTGTGTCATGCTATTTCACTCAAGGATCCACTTTGATGGACCATGAGAAGATGGGGACCTAAATTGAAAAACTTTGCCTAAGGGRATTTCTTATATGTGACAGTATTTTATTTCCTGTTTTGTATCCTTCATGGTCAAGGAAAAGTGTTTTTCCAGAGAGATGTTGGGTTAAGAGCTGAGACCTTGTATGGATAAACACAATTTGGCCCACTATTACTGCTTGTAATGTAATGCAGGGAACAGCCATCGCTGCTCATTTCATGGGTGATATCTCCACACCCACAACAGTTGTTGCGGCTGGGAAGCAGTGTTACCCCTACCTCTTTTTCAATTAACCTGATTTAGATTGGATAGAATAGATTTAGATATCTCTGTTGCTTTTTACATATGCTGAGTGAAGTTTGGGAATAAGGATTTGCTACTWCATTTTGAATCTCTGGCCTGGGGCAAATTTTCCTCCTGTCACATTAAATGCAGACCACAAGCTAACYTTAGTAGAATCAGAACCCTTTGGTGTTGCAGCAGCCCTTCCAAATTCCCATTTTCAGACAAAGCAAGCAGATATAAGCGCCTGGCAAACTGATTTAACCCAGTTGACCGAAATGATTCACCACCCAAGGAGATTTGCTCTTGCAAATGCCTCTCTCAAGCTGTGGATGGCTTTTCAAGACATGCCTGTCCCTTTCTCTCCCCACCACCTCGCAGGAGCAGTTCGGAGAGGAGGAAGGAGAAGTCGAGAGACGCGGCGCGATGCCGGCGCAGCAAAGAGACCGAAGTGCTCTACGAGCTGGCCCACGAGCTGCCGCTGCCGCCCAACATCAGCTCGCACCTGGACAAGGCCTCCATCATGCGCCTGGCCATCAGCTTCTTGCGCACGCACAAGCTCTTGTCTTCAGGTAAGGCCTACCCGCAGCTCGTGGGTAGTCTCGGCTTGTCCTGAGCTCGCCTAGCACTCGAGGTTGTCTGGGGTGCTAGCTGGCTTCAGCACCAAGCAGCACCTCAGGTAGAAGCTATACGAGATGTTCTCTGAGCATGGGGTCTCTAAGTCAACGCAGGGCACAACCATTGCCACTGTAGTAATGTGACCACCTACTAAGCTGCAAGGTTTTATTTTTCATCCCCATATGGATATTTTAATCAGGATAGCAGAAAATGGTGTTTCTCATCACGTAACGTCTTCCTTTATCAAAACTGCAACTGGTGCAGTTTTGCCTATCTCAAAAGATTCTGAAAACTCCTGAATGTGCTTTGGCAAGCTCCAGATTTTAAGCTTTCACTTTCAAGAGCTTAATCAGAATTCAGACGCGCCTCTTAGGCTTCCATGCCGAAACAAGTAAATCTTGATTTGCCTGGGAAATGTGTTTGTTCAAGTGCCTTTAAAAGGCAGCTTGGAAGTGCTGAACGCCTGATACTTTGTTTGAAAGGACTAATTGTCCTATAGGCCAGTAATAGGTAGCAGATAGGTTGTCTAACCCTGGTAGACTCAGATAACTAAAGCAAACAACTTTTCAGTGCTTGACACAGATGGGTTCTGTTTAATGAGAACCTTGCTTGTTTTGGGCTAGGGTGAAATGTGAACCAGCACCATTTTCATGGGCTGTGAAAACTGATAGAAATCACAAAATATTCTTATTTTTCAACTGCCTTTAAGCAATCGCTTTGGGAATCTGTGGTTTGAGTGGGCTACGGGATTAATGAAAATAACTGTTGGTTATGGGAGAACTTTCACATGGTGACTTCTGAGTGTCAAAAATATGTTAACAAAACAATGCCTGAATTATTTGTGAAAGGTAAAGCCAAGATACCGTCTTTTCCCACATTAATGGCAAAACTCCCAATACAGTCACGATTTCATTTCCTCACTTTAGAAAAGTTGAGTCATACTGTAACAACTGTTTTAATAAATGCTATTAGGAAGTGTCTCATTTTGTGGAGGAGGATGCTGTTGGCTAGTCTGAAATATGACAGATAAAATTCTGCTCCTGTGTGGTGTAGTTTTTATAGCTTTTTTGAGCTAGGCAAAGACTTTTGCATAAAATAGGAGCTTTCTAACCTTGGCCTGTGGAATTGGATTTCTTTAACAATTACCTCTGTAGAAAGAAAAGGTTATTTGCTGAGCAGTGCTTGCAAGTCATCTTTGTTTTCCCAATATAAGTAATGCTTGGGGAAGCTAACATAAAATAGGTAAGTATTCTTTAAAATGCCACATAACTCACCACTTTGCTAGCTATTTTTTTTTATTTGAAAAGCTGATGCTGTGTTTTTGTATTTATATGACATGAGCCAGAGGCTGTCAAAGATGAGGAAAATAAAACTTCTGAATGGCTGTAACAGATGATGTTATAACGTGCATGCATCTGGAAAGCTGAAATAAAATAGCTTAATACATATATACACACACATATATATATGTGTATACACACACATATATAACTTATATATGATTTTTCTGTGATGGTTTTGAGATATAATTTGATTCATGCATCTGATTTACATGTCTTGAAGCACCATATACTTGAAATACTGCCATAACCCAAAATCTAAAAAAGAATGTGAAATTAAACATTGTATTTGTGTCAATCTCTGTTTTAATATTTCAAGCTTTACCTATGACAGTTCTTAGGTTAACTTTAAATGTAGCAGCAAATCTGATCCCTTTCCTCATTTTAAATATCAATTTAAATTAGGTCTTGTCATTAAAATTAGTGTTGTTAGTCAAATACAGTTTTGTCCACAGCTGCATCTTTAGACACTTGAGATGTGCATCACGGTTTTATAATCCTTTATTTTTCCATTTTGGCGAACTGATCTTAAAGCACTTTAAAGGGGACTCTTCTGGAAAAGTTGGGTCTTATTTTCTGAAAGTGAGAACAAGCTGAAGTGACTGAACTCAGGCCAAAATACCTTGGTTACTAATTATATTTTGGATCCAGCTAACATTTAAAACATTTAATTGGCCAAGTTAAGCAAGAAGGCTGGAGGTTAACATAGCCCTGAATATTTCAAAGCTGATTTTTAAGGTTTAGCGTAAAGAGACATTATTAGAGAGAGAATTTGTATTATCATGGTCAGAATCCCACCTTTAAGGTCGTATTTGCCCCTCTYTGGGGCAAATGGATCCCAAGATTCGCATGTGTCTCAATGAGGTCTGGACAAGCAAATCTGTGTTGGATGCAGCCTGGCATTCCAGGGACTGGAGATGCCCACGAGTTCCTATGGTGTGAGGAGCCGCCAACGCAGGGGGGTCAGTTATCCTGGGCAGGTGGGATGGGGAAGGGGAATGAGGGCAGTGCTGATGTGGGACACGCAGCAGACAGAGCCCCTCTTGGCTTTGCTCTGTCCCCGTGGAAGTGGCTGTGATTATTTGGGCTAGATGCTTCATGTAAACTGGACTCAAGTGGTAGTGTTTGCTCTGTAATCTTAGAGCATTGAAGTAAGTAACATTTACTGCATTTGTGTATACAATGTCAATAAAATGAGGTTGCAGCACRGCTTGAAAAATACAGAAGATGCTTCAAAAGTGCTGCTTGATTAGCATTTTTTGGTGTTTATTATTTATGTTATCAAAAACTACTGGTACACCAGGTTTGAGGTCATGCTGTGTYTTGCAGGCATGATTCTCAAATGGGGATGGAGCACCTCATTTCACAGCACTTTTCTGGGAACAGGGAGAGCAAGGACTTTCCAGGGCTGCATCCTTGTCTTCTTGCAACCTCCTGCTCCTTAATTGAGAGATGGCCTCAGGCGACTTGCCAGCCTCAGCTGGCATCAAGTGCTGAAGGCTTCTTCTTCTTCTTCCCTGGTGTGGCACGGGGCCTTTGCTTCGTGGATCTCGGCCTTTTCCATTAGCTGGATCTCCGTGCAGTGCTCCCTGCCTCTGCAAATCCCCATGCCGGGAGCGAGCGCGCTCAGCCTCGCTCCCCTTTCACAATAGGAAATAGCTGGTTGTGTATCTCAGAGTTCAAAAGGGTAAAAAATACCAGGTTTTGCTTTATAAAAGTGGCTGCTTTACTTAGTAACACGCTTCCCTTTGATTTTCACAGTAGGCAATTCTGTGTGGGAATGTGGGAGAGGAAGCCTTGAACATTTAGAAACGCAGGCTGTTGCTCTGACGGCCTGATTGAGATTAGTATCGCAGGAAGCAAACTGAAACAATAGCTTTATAATTCTGTTTCCATGTTGTGCAGAGCGCTACGCGGCATAATTGGAATGCTGGTTGAAATATCATTTAATTATGGCCGCCTTAAATATTTCTCAAGATGTCTCCTAATTCTATTGGCATAATAGTTTTTACCCTCATTGCATGAAAAAGGTCGCGGTAAATATAGAAGAGATCTTTGTTCCTTTCAAGGGAAGGTTTTGATACCCCATCAAGTGACTACCGAAACTCACCACCTGGTGTTTACCTGTGGCTGAGCTTTAGGAGTGAGGGTCTTATGGGCTTTAATTTGGCCAGAAGGTTTGATATCAGTGCCTGTCTCCTTTTGTTACCTACAACAGCTTGCACGTGAGTAAATTCTCATAATTTGGGGGAGGAGGAAGTTAAGAGATGGCCAAATGTAGCTTTTTTTGGTTGGAGTAGCCGTCTTGGTTAGCATGGCAGTTGTTTCATAGTCCAATCCAGCCAATCTGCTGGCGTCTGACATGTGGGAGCAGCAGAGTCCTCCCTGGGAGCCACGCGTTGTTCATACGTGGTGCCCATAGCCTAAGTGCTCCTCCCATGCATGCTCTCACCAGCAGGTAATACAGGGAGCAGAGCCCCATGTGCTTCCGAGGTGTGTGCCAGAGCGTCGGAGTGAGGCGAATGGGGCCAGCAGGATTTTTTCCAGCTTGCCTCCATGCCCTGCGAGCCGGGTGCCTTTTCCATGTCCAGGAGCAGCGGAGGAAGCTGCCCGGGAGCCGCTCCTGTAGCAGGAGCGGGGAGGGAGCAGGGAAGCAGACCGGAAGCGGCTTGGGAGAAGGGAGGCCGCAAGGAAGCCAGTGTGAAGTTGTTTCAAGGGAGGGAGACAACAGGGCCGGAAAGGCAGCAGGGAGCAGAGAGGAAAAAATAGCTCTGCTCGCCGCTTTTAAGGGAGCGCCTGCTATCGGGCGAGGCGGCGCGAGCATTGTTCTCCGTCTGGACGAGCCGCGGCTAATCTGGGGCCATTGTGGCATAAAACAGGGCTTTAAAAATAGCCCGGCTGCTTGCGCGCCTCCGTCGCCTTGGGAAAACAGTCCTGTGGAGGCCGAGGGCTGCCACTGCCCGGAGCGCGGCCTCTTGGGCAGGAAAGCGCCTCACGCCGTCGGTTTTGGTGGAAGAAGCCTCCCTGGTATGTGGTGATGGGCRGCTCTGTGCCCCAAGAGCCCTGTTCAAAGCGGAGCACAGCAGGGGTTGAAGCACCTTTAGAGGAGCAGTGCCTGTGTAATCCGGCTGCATGCAAMCCCCCTAATAAAACTGCAAGCAACCTGCAAGTGTTTTCTTTAGAAAAGTTGCTTGTGCACTTAGAGATAAGGGCCCTTCAGGAAGCTTCCAGTTGAGGAGCGGCTTTTTCTTGCTGTATCTAAATGGATTGGTTTTTATTGAATGCATTGAAAATATCCCCTTGAACAGGATGTGCTGTCGTGTCAGGACGAAAATAGCCCCCCGTTGCTTTCCTTTGATGCAAAACAAGAAATTAGGGAGAGGCAAGTCCAGCTCCAAAGCTCTCGCGCTGCTGCTGCCTCTTCCCTACCTCAGGCCAACATCACGGAGTGATTTGAGAGCCCTTGTCAGGAACGGCGGCGAGCGAGGGGACAGTTGTGGCGTGGTATCTGTTGCACATCATTGATTGCCAAGACCCCTCTGTGGTGCCTGTGGYGCCCAGGACAAGGGGCAAAGCCTTGAGGGCTGCATGGAGGGGTGACGTGGGCTCTAGCTGAGCCCCAGGCATCACGGCCCTTCCTCTGAGCCACATGAAAGGAGCAGGGCTGATCCCTGACTGTTTGCTGGGAGCTTGTTTATACCTGAGCGCTTATTTCTTGCAAGGGGAGCCTGATTTTTGAGCTTTCAGATTTGTTCCAAGAGGCCGGGCTGAAGGAAATGAGCAAGCATCTACGGAAAAAGTGTTCTTAAACTTGGGAACAGAGCACATCCTGACAGTGGGAATTAATCAAAGCTTGTTTACAAGAGCTATTTTTAGCATAAAAGGTTATCATAAACACTGCAATAAGCATTTGCCACAACACTTCAGGGTTCCTTGTGGATTAATAATTCCTACTTTAATAGATTGAAATTTTTTGAAATAGAGCTAATTTGAAAAAAAAAAAAAAAAGCTAAGAAAAAATGGACTGAGCAATACTGCTTGGGGTGATAGAAACAGGGGATGAGAGTGGGACTCGAGGCACGATCCTGCTATATCTGTGACAGTCACCCCAGGGAGGGCACCTTACTTTTCTGTGCCCCCAAACTTGATCTGATCCCCTGATCTAGACTGGGCAGGGATTCTCTCCTTTATTGGCCTCCTAGTGCTCTGTGAGAACAGCCTTGGCTGGGATCCATCAATGTAACTATAGTATGAGCAGTGATACTGCAGTACTTCATTGCTACTGAACTATAGTTAAGTAGTTCATGTATTTATGCTAATTTATAGTTAAATGGGAGTATTTGCGGCCCAGTTGCCCTTGCCATGGTGCCTGAACTGAAGGGAGAAATGAGGAAAACAAAACAAAAAAAACCCACAAAAAAGCAGTTGCAGGGAAAACAAAAAATTCATCCTTATTTCAAAATTTAATTAATTTAAAATTTAATTAATTTAAATATTTAATTGACCATTCATTTGAAATCAACAGAAGACCTACCTAAAAATCAGTGCTGATTTATTGCATCTCCGTAAGCCCTGGAAAATTCTGGCCAGCCTGCATTAGATGCTGCTACCACCTAGATAAAAGTATTGCCAAGCCTATAGAAAACTGAAGGTGAAATTCTGCCCCTGCTTCCTCATCTAAACCTCTTTCTTTCACTGGATCCCAGCTCCCTCAGCTGTTTTTCACTTAAAGTCAGATTTTCTTATGTCCAGCCCCAAAGTAAATTAATAAAGAACATTTAAAGCAAAACGAGAGGCTAGAGGGATATTGGGGAGCAGCTGGTGGYAGCAAAGGCTTGATTTGCTTTTAAGAAAACCAGATTTTTTGCTAGTGGCAAAAAAAACTGCATTGGTTCTGATGTACCAAGCTCCTTATGTGTGTAAAGATATTAGTAGCTGGTGATTTTCCCAGGCCTTGCTGCWGCCCTCCCTATACATTAGTGTATATCCATATCCATTAGTGTATAGGCCYTCTGCCCTTCTTCCCAGTCCGCATCACGGATGCCTCCGGCTGGACTAAGGTCATCTTAATAAAAATAATCCCCATCCACGTGCCCTAAAGCTGACTCTATAGCGCTTGGCTACGCTAGGACATTAAGGGTTTGAACCTCCAGCCCCAATGCGAGTGATCCCRTGCCCTCTGTGTGGCTTTGGATAAGTAATATAATTTATATACATGGAAAAGCAAACTTAATCATCTGATAATACAAGTCAAGTGTTTGTCTTTCACTGTTGGAGGCATTTAAGAATACAAACGCTTTGAATAGCCTTCCTGCCTTTGAATGGTGATGTTTTGTTAATGCAAACTTAATGAGCTGGAAGAAAAAAAGGGAAAGGAGGGTCTGGGGTTAGAGCTGAAAAGTCAGTTTTTCTCCGAGCCCACACTTGGCTGATTGTCTTGGGCCATGGCCACCATCCCTGCTGAATAAACCATTTGTTTGCTTCCGGAAAAGTAAAAAAAAAAAACCCTTGACATCCTTTACACAGCAGAAACAAGCTTGGGAGCAGATGGTCGCTCATTTATTTATTTTTTATTTTCCTTTTTTTTTTTTTTTTTTTTAAAAAAAAAGTCTTATTATTTTTAGAAAACCTTATTTCAATACATTGCTGAGCGTTTTGTTGGCGTTTCCAACGCTTCCTGAAGGCCGCGGCCTTGTCCTCCGTGCTCGCGGTGCCTGCGCACAGCGACGCAGCAACCAAGGCCCGCTCCGGGCCGGCCCTCCCTGGCCAGGGCCTTCTCCTCCCCGAATGCTGAGAGGCCGAGGAGGGCCGGAGAAGCCGAGGAGGGCAGGCCTGGTGCTGCCGGCCTGCAGACCAAGGCCACGGTGAGGGGYGGGAGGCGGCGTCCTGGCGGCCTTGTTCTCACCAGGGTCATTGCAAGTGCCCGTCCCCCTGCGCCTGCTCCCGAGCCTGCCTTAGCCACTGCGGGAGGGATAAATTGGGCTTGTCCTATAATATTAACTGATTGTGCTTTAAAGTAAAACCTGTATAGGTGACTCAGCCTTTTCCGTATATCCTCCCCACCAAAACCAAAAAACAGCCCTCCAAAAAAAGCAAAAGATGCATTTTAACATGTTTTACAAAGCAATACAAATACAAAGCAATAGAAACAAATGCAAATGACTTTATGCTTCTACACKTCTTCCGAAATAAGGATTTCCACAAGAAACACGAAGAGAAAATGATGAATGTGTTGTTATAGGGAGGAAAGGAACAAAACTGAAATATCCTCTGGTCCTGAGAGGATACGCAAAACRGCATGCTGAAATTGCAACATTAAAGCAGCAAAGACAACCAAGTTCTCCAAGAGGCAGAGGAGCTTCCCACGGTTCCTTCATCGACGAAGGCCGATGCAAAGAGGACCGGAGCCTTCCGGGCAGCCCAACGTGCTGGGGCTCGTCATCCCGTGCACCTGACGATGAGCAGGGCCCTCAGCCACCGCTAGGGCTTTGGCAGAGGAGGACCGAGTTTGTTGCCCTCCCTTCTGTGCAGATGTGCTGCCTTCAGGTAAAACCATGAAGATAAGCTCAGCCTCGGCGGCTGAGGGGCACAGAAGAGCTGGGATAAACCATCTCCTGAGAAAACCCCTGGCAAAACAGGGCAAGGAAATTATTGCGTCCACTCCTACACACAAACTGGTCCTTACTAATCACCTACAACTCACCTGCTGTGGGTTTCCTATACATGGAGCGGAAAACTTAACAGTCCTAATGTTTTGAAGAGATGGCAAGAGGCAATTGCCTGTATGAGGAAGTTGAAAAAAACAACAGGGAGATGACTAGCCAAAAAAACACAAACACTCTCATAAATACATCAGCATGGATTTACATTTCGTCACAACAGTAGCCTGGCTGCTCCAGGAGACATTAGATGTGTTGGATTCACAAACCTTTCCCTGCATGTAGAAACGTATAGGATGTGAACGGGATATGGAGCCTTTTCTCCTGGCTGGATGGGAGATAGGTAGATAACGGAGCGTGTTGGAGCTGGTGGGATGGCGTGTGCGGAGCTCGGCAGTCTGCAACTGAGAAAGCAAGTTCAGCAGGAGCGGGTGCTTGTTTCTCCTGCAGATTCTTTAAATGTGTTGGATGAAAGGGAAATGATCCAGAAAGACAACAATTCTCTATTTCTTACAGTTTTCTTATTCTTATACTAAAGGTATTTTTCATGGCGATTTTTCTGAGCTGAGTGGAGCAGTCTACTTGGGCAGTCTTAATAGGAGAAGTATTTGAACTTCTTACTAAACCTGGATTCACATGTCGTTTTGTGAGGCATTTGCTAGAAATGCACACATTTACCTTGTCTTCTGTAGGAACTGCAGTGTTGTATTTGATGGGAGATGAAAAGAATGCTTTGGGCCAAAAGAATCTGTGCCCCATAGAGTATGTGCCTCAGTGTCTGGTTACATATGTGTTAACACAGATTTACTTACTGCAAACACACATAAGGTCAGTAAAGAGTTTGTTGTATATATTTACCAGAAGGTTTAGAGAAAAAGAAAATCAAGAAAACTCTCAAACTTTTACCTTTCTAATAATAAGGATTTCCCTTCCACGTACTATGCAGGTGGGTTTCTCCTCAAGAACACAGAACAGTACTGTGGAAAAGAAATTCTAACAGGGAAGTATTTTGCTAAAATTGTAAAAAAAAAGTAGCTGGGAAAGTTGAAGATTTTAAATGTTTTTGTCCTTTCTTTCAGTATGTGCTGACAACGAGACTGAGCTGGAGGCAGACCAGCAGATGGACAACCTGTACCTGAAAGCTTTGGAGGGATTTATTGCCGTGGTGACACAGGATGGAGACATGATCTTCTTGTCAGAGAATGTCAACAAATATATGGGTCTAACCCAGGTAACTTGTTCCCTGACACTTCTCTGCCTTTGTAATACAATTCCCAGGAACCAGACATATGCCTAAATGCAGAAAAACAGTTGTGTTGACTAGAGGGAAAAAAAAAAAAAAAAAAACCCAAAACCCTACCTTCCTGGATCCTGCTATGGAGGACAGAATAGGCATTTTTATATTATTAAAATTATATTATTATACCATTTTCAAGCAATTTTTATCAGATGGAAACAATGCTGCTTTGTGCATCCTATTCAGTTACCAGTTGAATATGGCTGTGGGGTTAGTGTAAATGGATTCATTACAAGACATGGGACAAATTACTAATAAAAAAGGCTGAGTTAAACCTGGCTGTGATCCACTGCAGTGGTCAAGCTTAGCGTGTTGTCCTGCTTCATCTCTCAAAAATACTGGGCCCCATCCTTCAGCTGCTATCAGTACACTTAGTTCCACTGACCAGTTTGTTCTAAGTAGGTAGAATTTAGAAATAGATAAATGAGTATGTGAATAGATAAATAAGTTGTTTTTAGGGGAGGGGCTAAACACTGTTTTTATTTCCAAACAGGTGGAATTAACTGGACACAGCATTTTTGACTTCACTCACCCATGTGACCATGAAGAAATTCGAGAGAATCTGAGTCTGAAAAATGGTAATTGTTTTGTTTTGCCAAATATGCCTAAGCATGATACCATTTAGAAGTGCTTGTTTAGTATTTTCCTTTCATCAAGTTAAGACAGGCATAATGTTCTCACTTGTAACTATTAGCAAAGATTTATGTGCTGCAAGCTAAAACACAGATTTAAATGCACAGACCCAGTWAAGGTCTGCTCAAAGTTTAGGTCTCAGACTTAAAAATGGCCCTTTGTTTGTCCATGCATCTTTGATAGTCTCTGCAGGTAAATTAACTAGGGATTAGTCAGTTATTACTTGCAAGTCTTCATGCTTATAAGTAGGAATTAAGAAGCAAGAGTGACAAGACCTTTTTTTTTCTTTTTTTTTCTTTTTTTTTTCTTTTTTTTTTTTTCCTTCCTTTCTCTTACCTAGGTCCAGGCTTTGGAAAGAAAAGCAAGGAGATGTCTACCGAGCGTGACTTCTTCATGAGGATGAAATGCACTGTTACCAACAGAGGCAGAACTGTCAACCTCAAATCTGCCACGTGGAAGGTACCACAGTTTAGCCATAAAGAAGGCATTATGAATTTAAAGAGATGTTTTAGCTTGTAAAGTACGTTCTAAGTTTGTGCCTCATTCAAAATCATTATTTCAGGTTTTGCACTGCACTGGACAAGTTAAAGTATATAACACTTGCCCTCCTCACACCCTGTGTGGGTATAAAGAGCCTCTCCTCACCTGCCTTATAATAATGTGTGAGCCCATTCAGCATCCTTCAAACATCGACATCCCCCGGGACAGCAAGACCTTCCTGAGCCGCCATAGCATGGACATGAAATTTACCTACTGTGATGACAGGTAACCTGCTCCTTTTCATGGATGTTTCTACCCTCCTAAACTAAGCAAGCAAWCAGTCCATCAAAACTTCCTTGCTGTGGGGAGCTGGTAAGGAAGGACTGGAAGAAAACAAGTTCCGTTACAAAGACAGAGGCTCACTTAATCRGTCTGAAATCTTAGCTTAGGAAAAAAATGGTGGTAATGCCACTGTATTTTTTCTTCCTGAATGATGAGCTTAAGTTCACTGGCAGAAGATGAGAAAATTCAGTGTGATAAGAATCTTAGATCTTAACAAACTGAAGAGTAAAGAGGATTTCTGTTACATATTTTAGAGAAYTCCTCCAAGGATGTCCCTTTCAGACCTTAACCAAGGATAGTGTTATGGTTGGTTTGACCCAGGATAATATAATCTGTTAACTGGAAGATGCTTAATTCTAAGCTAAGAATTGCTAAGGAGACCAAAGCATCTGCCTGCTCAGCAACAAAGCTRTAGTCTATCATGCTCAGTGAAAAGCAATCATTGCTGGTTATCTGCTGCATTTAGGGATGGCACGAGGGAGAAGGAAAGCTCTTGGGTCAGGTGAGCGGCCTGTGCCCTCCACTCACTCGTGCTTCCCTCTTAAGTGAAAAAACGGAGATTCCCCTGCATAATTTCCCTGGGGATCCCCAGCGCCTCTCATACCACGTGTCTCYCCTTCCTGTCTAGGTATTGTAGGACCCTCTTCCCAGCAAGTGTGAGTGAACCAGAAATCCCTTCCTGTGCAGCTTCCTCTTGCCCTGCCCTATTCCAGCAAATTTTGTCTGTGCTACCTTYTATAAAGTTTATGAGATCTTCCCTGAAAGTGATGTGGAGCTGTTGGTGGTTCTCACTAGTGCTACTGGACTCTAGGAATTCAGAGCTGCTTGCAACTGCTGACATCCAAGAAGCTGCCAATGGGATCATATGTACCCTTGAACCTTAAGAAAGAAAAAATCAGAACTGAAATCTTAGTTATTCTCTTGTGCTTTTGAGATTTTTAAAAACTTGTTCCAGGCATGATTATTGCTTTAAATAATGCAGTGAAGCAACTGTACAGGGTTAGCAGCTGTGGGTGACAGCAAGATTGCAAGTGGGAAACTTGTGACTGACCTTCTTCTGTCCTCTCTAAGAATTTAGCAGYAAATATGTTGTAACTAGAAATGTGCTGTAAATGGCACCAGGAGTCTGTTCTGCTCAGATAAGTACAAGGTAGTTGTGTGAAAACAGGTTAGCCATTCTTTAAAGAAAGCTGCTAGGGTTCTCAGAGAAGAAATACAGTGACTGAGAGTTCAGGTAGGAAGGTCTCCAGGAAGGTGCATTATTCCCTATAATGCATGCAGGACCAATGCTTAGGCACACATGGAGGTATGCATAGAAAAAATCCATTAGATATAAATTCTGAAAATTGTGGCTCATGGTATGTACTTTGATGCAGCTACTAAAAAAAAATCACACTTTCTTTTAAAATATTTTAAGATTAAAGTATTGAGATACCAATAGGATTTTGCTGTTGGGGTAGAAATCCAACAATGTAGTAGTGACTTATTATAAAAAGCACCTTGCTTCCTAATTATYATAAACTGACTTGGTGACAGGCTAGAAGAAAGAGGAGGGTTCCCTACGTTACAGCATTGGTAGGTCTCTGTCGGACTTTCTGTACAATTATAAATGAGAATTAGAGAGAGCCATACTTTCCATTAGAGATGCATATACTTGGTTTTAAAAAGAATAAATTCCTGTTTTAAGCTGAGGGAGCCGATTTACAGGGAAAACTCCTTGTTTGTCAGTGTAACACATCAGCTTCCTGTGATTTAACCTGGAGGGAATTCCGGCACTGTCTCTTAAATATGAGCACGTGTTTTGCTAGATGGTTTTAGCTGCTTCATTTGTGGTTTATTGAGGTGATGCTGATGGTGGGATGGTGGCCAGGAGGAGGCCGAGCCCGGCAGCTCTCCGCGCTGCCCAGCTGGTGCTGAGCCCTCGCCAGCACGAGACGTGTCAGAAAACACATAAAAGGGCAAAACACTCACGGGTTCTTATCGAATTTGGTGCCAACAGACAAATTGTATGAAAGGGCCCGCTGATGCCAGGGGTGGGAAGGCAGTCTGAAGGAGAACGGAGGAAAAGGGGGAGGAAAAGCAGCGCGTGCCAGTCAGATGGCTAAGCCCTTGTCAAGGCACTCTTGCCTTTCTGCTGTGAAGAAATTCCCCTTCCCTCGTTTCAAATGTGTAATGCACCTGCCTACGTATTTTGCCCTCCATAAATGATTTATATATGAGGACCTATGACTCCCCTGTGGTGAGGTGAAATATGGTGGTATTCTTAAAACAGAGTTAGCATGGGAAGGGACCTGTGAAAGAGTTTTGAGATAAGAATTAAAAATAAGGTTCAGAGTTCAAGTTGCTGTTCTGTTAAATGGCTGTTTCAGCCACTAATGGGGAACTATTTAGACACATTCCCTTGCTCTGCTTATCTTGGCTAAGAGGTTTAAGGGAAGGATTATTTCAGCTGTAATGCGGAAACGCTGATCACTGGTACAAGTCAATAATCCGAGCAGGGCTTATTGCAGCCACACAATGCTTTTGTGTTGGGGAAGACCTCTGGTGAGGGTGGTTTTAGGTCAGGAAAAGGCAAGCCTGGGTGTGAAAGGAGCTCTGTTTCCCTGGGGCTATAGCTGAGCACSAGCACCGTGGGCATCACCACAGGGACACGGGGCGGACTGGAGGAACGTGCAGTGATGCCAAAGTGTCTGCTGTCCATTGCTGTGAGGAGGGGAGAGAACCTACAGTCTGCAGAACCATGTGGTTGGGGTTTACAAGACACTTGATTAGTTAACACTTTCTTTTTCTTCATTGGAATTTTTTAATGGAGGAGATAAGGAAGAGGAGGGAATGATGGTGGGGTGTATGGTGAGATGCATTTGAGATTGTACAAGAGAAACAAGGCAGTTTCAATAGTGTCAGTCAGACTAAATTAGGACATCAGCTTTCTTCTAATATGAATGTACATGTGGGATCTCGTCAGTGTCCCAGTGTTGTATTTTGTTTCCAGTGTCCAGCAGTGGGCAGGGGTCCCTGGTTTTTGCCCGGTTTTGGCCTGGTTTGGTCTGGGAGAAGCCCTGAAACGTGTCTGCGCTTTTTGCTGCCTTTGGGGATTATCTGAGGCTCCCTCTCAGCAGCAGCCTTGGGTGCTTAGCAGGATTGCCACAACAACGTGCAGCTCCCTGCAGCAGGCTGGCACAGTGGTTACTTACCCAGCTTTTCCCCAGAGAAAATGTGCGTGGGGCTTCTTTTTTTTTTTAACTCATTCTGCTTTAAAAAGTATAAATTTTTGTTGTTTGTTCCTGTCAAGACCAATTTAGCTTCAATAACTTGGTAACAGCTTGAATAAAGAAAGACTTTGTCTGGAGTCCCACACCCTCACGCGCACAGTCCACATACGGCCGTAAGAGTCTATACCTGGTTATTTTTTTATGAGCAGTAAACATTACGGTAGTCTTTCACAAAGAGCCTGACTTCTCATTCCTCTTATTTGTTATGATACTATTTTAACTCACGGAATCGTRTGGACTAAAAAAGCTTTGTATTCCTGTCAAGAGACAGAAAAGCTGGCTAAAGCCTAATTAAAAAAAARTAACTAGTTTCTAAGAAATGTAGTCTTTGAAGCAGTGAGCTTCCCTTGTGCTTTGCCGTGTCTCGGAGAAGTAAAATGAGCAGAAGTCATGCAAATCCAGGAAGAGGACTCAGATGATTTGTTCCTCCATCACCTTCCCCAGCTAATTTTTTTCTCCAGCAGCTTCCTTAAGCACAAACTTTGCTCCACATCCCAACAAATGCCAATTACTCTTAAAAATGGACACAGTTGAGAACTGAAATGCAGTGCCCAGAGCACTTAAATAGTGGTAGCAGGGACAGATCTGCACTTGACGGCTACTGCCCTTCTCTTTAATGTGTTTTCCGAGATTTTGACCACAGTTACATCATGGGGACAAATTTAGCGAAGTGCCAGTTTGGCAAAATTAAGATTCTCCCAAAGGTATTTGTGTTTTTAGAGGAGAGCGGTTAGCAGGAAAACAAACAGCCTCTCAACCCACCAGTCTCCTTCAGCTAAAATTACTATTATTCTAATTAGCACCAATTTAGAGTTWTTTTTTTTAAATATATATATATAAGTGCAAAGGCAACACAAAGCCTTCCACGTCAGGAATGCCACCCAACCCACCACACAGTTTGCTTTGCCGCTTTGTCATTCCTCAGCCTGCACAAGGAGCAGTTTACTGCCCAGGGCCCGAGTGAAAGCCTGTGTCCTGCGTGCCGGGCTCGGGTGCACGTGGTCCCCTGGGTGCCACGTGGTCCCCTGGGTGCCATGTGGTTCTGCAGCCCTTCGGCTCTGCCCTCGTCCTTGGGGCAGCGCTTGGCCCTGGGGCTGCCGCGGAAAGTGGCCAGGCGGGAGCAGGCGCCTCAGCGCCAAAACTCAATTCTCAGTTCTCGAGTTTTGCTCCATTTCTTCGAGTTTTCTCGAGTTTTGCTCCATTTCTTCRCGTTTTCTCGAATTTCRCTCCATTTCTTCGCGTTTTCTCGAGTTGGAGAGAAGTGATTCTCGAGGGAACTCAGTGCAGAGACTCTTTTAACAGCTTCACTGCAGTCCTGGCCCAGCTGCCACGCAGCCTCTTTGCTGCCCGAGTCTTCTGGCATCGAGTGCCAGGAGTTGGAGGGTCGCGGGAGGGCTGCGCGAGCCGGGAGCCGGCGGCCGGCCCAGCTGCTCCCATGGGCAGCTCCCTCAGGAGAAGGAGGAGGAGGAGGAAGAGCAGGGATACTGGCCTGATGTGCTGGTTCCAGCAGGACAAAACAACACTGCTAATAGCTCCCCGAGAGCTCCCGTGAAAACTCCAGCCTTTGAAAATACACCTAGGAAATGTTTTCAGACAGTCTTAGTTTTTGGGGGTAGGAGAAAGAAACATGGTGTAATTCTTTAAAAAAACCCTTAAATTACTACAAAACAGACAAACAAAAAAACCCCAAACCCCAACACTTTATTCCCAAGAGTGTTTGAAGGGAAATGTAATAAAGCTCAGTAGCGGCAGCAGATAACAAGGGTATAGAGGCAATTTAGCCATTTTTTTAAAAAGTAGCTCTGTAAACTAATGACTCACAACTGGTATTTCCCTGTTCCCAAGGATGGGTTTTCATTATTGTGTAGATTGAGACACATTTTCTGATTTCTTATTTTTATCTTTGCTTTCTATACTTGGTAATTGTTTGTAGCATGGGGACATSAACCCATCGCTTGCCAACTTTAATCCAAGCTTACGTTAGATCTAATGTAATTTGACATCCTCACAGCAGGATTATACCACAAGTTCCGTGCCAGGGCACAACAGGAGGAGTTGTTTTATGGTTGTGAGAAGGACATTTCTGGATTAGAATCACAAACTTGGCAYAGATTTGCAGTTCCTATATGCTAAGTGTTAAGAGGCCCTAGACTTGCTGTAACACACGTTTTATTTCTTGCCATCTCAGTTCCATTGCAGACATCCATTTAGGACAGTGCTAGAGTTTGGGATCTGCATTGATGCTGCTGCTTTTGCTGTTACTTCTGTTTCTCTTTTCTTCTATCCCCTTCCAACCCTTCCGTACGTGTGACCTCCAAGTGCTGGATTAAGATTTCATCCTCAACTTCCTGAATTTTAGGACTTTCCCTGCTGAACTCCAGACTCATTTTGGTGGTTTTGTGCTTCGATGCCATTATCCAGCCAGAGGGCCGCAGTATTTGTTTCTGAAGGCTGTGTGTTTACACTGGTCCTGGCAAAGGCCTCTGGCCCGTTCCATCAGCGTGTCCCAGCTGGCTGCACGGAWGGAAGCAGCAACTGCGTTCCCGGAGCCTCGATTTTATTTAGACTCCCTCTGTCCTGGTGTTCTCTCCTGATGCTCCAGTTCTTTTGAGCAACTCGTCGTGAGAATTTACGCCTTTATCAAAAAGGAAAAGCAGTTGTAGTTTCGGAGAAARGATCTGTGTTTGACTTGGGAGCTTTTTAGTTTAAAAGCTCAGAAATTTGTCAGTGAAAGGAGATAAAATGGCCAGTTTTATCAAGAATTTGCAATTTGGCCTTTGTTGGTCTAACTCATAGCAAGACCTAAGCCTCCTTATTTGAACATGTGCAAATGGCTATTTGTGATTTGGAGGGTCASTGCTGTAAATACTCAGACCTTGGGGAAGGAAGAGTTGTTGCCTGTCTGTCCCTCCTGGTGTGTCGGACTCGTTATCCAGAACATAGATGACCAGCAATGGAGAAGTCCACTAAAATCAACTACGGTATTTGCTTAACTAAGTCATTACAAAGCCAGGCTCATTCCATGGAAATCAGGACAGGGAGTAATTCTCAGCCTGACACAACCAAGGTGTCCTGCGGGTAGGAGCTATACGGTTCTGTGGAGGCCAGGGAAAAGCTGACTCAACACCTTGGCTTCCAGCCCATATACAAAGTAGCTCCATCTTATTTGTCTTCCCTGCTTGAGGGTGAGCAAGGAGATGACTGCCGTGCCCTCCTGCTGTTTGCTCCGCAGTATTTACAGGGCTGTCTTGTAAGGACAAGCTTTTGGCTAGAGCGTTGGGCCAAGACCATCCTCCAAGGGCGCAGGCCCGGCCAAGGATGGTGTCCTAAATGCAGGCAGAGACTGCTCTAAATAATCCTAGTCCAAATAATCCTAAATAATCTAAATAATCCTAAATAATCCTAGTCCAAAGTTAGGGTGGCAGGTAACCCCCTGCCAAGGGGCTGGCTGCAGGGCAGGGCCCCCGGGCATGGCACCGGCCTTGGCAGCGGGTGGCTACGTGCTGGGACGTGGCTCTCCCTTTCCAAACGTGCCGGCTCTTCACCGCTCGCGGCGACTTAGCAGTCACTTCGCAGTCGGTTTTGCTGCTGCTCTCTGCAAATTTGCAAGTTATTATTGCACTTGAGCAGCTCGGGGAAAAAAGCAGCATGCAAGAGCATTGTGGTTCGCTTGAAAAACAGCGATGTTTCCTTATTTTGCCAGCAGGTATGGCATCTTTGCTTTTCACAGYTTATAGAGGATTGTGTTTTGTTACTAACCATATTTCCTGTCTAAGTTGTGTGTGACAGTACTTCAGATTTAATTTAGGAAACCCAAACCCTTTTCCTCTACCCCCTCACTAAGACAAAATAGTCTACACATTTTGATGAGCTCTTATTTATTCAGGAACTTGTGAGAAATCCTGGCCTGAGTACTCATAAAAGCTCTGAAAACAGTCTAGTTCTGGAGCTCTTGGTTTTCTTTGTGCAAAATCCTACTTATTTTGGGGATTACTCACCCAAGTAATATAATCCATGGGYTAAAGTTCTAATATAATTGAGAAACTCAAGTAGAAGAGCAGATTTTCTTTTCCACCAATAGTAATTTCTCATCTTGCACTTTTATTTCATTAAATGCAATACCCAAAGTAGTCAATGAATGGTTTCATCTATTTGTAAAATAAACATATTTATATATATATATATACACACACACACACACTTTTAAATCTGATGTTGTCACCCGCCATTCTTTGCATGCATTTTATTCCCAATGGTGCTAGTGTGGCTTTCTGTATGCAGTAGGCATTTTGAGAAATGTCATTTTGAGAAAATCACTCTGTAATCAATGGTTTTCCAGTTGTGATTTCCTATACGAGCTACTGTACAATAAGCCTGGGAAAATCTGCAGTACATATATAATAACTACCCCAGGAATTTTACTTTCAGTAGTAATAGCAGTAAAAAGCAGTTTTTCTGAACATGGAAACATTCTGGAACATGATTAGACACCCTTRAGAGCTCCTCATGTGTTTGGAAGTTTGGAAGTTTTGGTAGTGTGAGTCTAAGCACTGGAACTAATAGCTGCTCGTCACGTGTACACGGAAGGCCAGTGTGACATGAATTTTAACTGTTTGGTTTTCTCTTAACCAAGAATAACAGAGCTGATCGGTTATCATCCCGAGGAGCTACTGGGCCGCTCAGCATATGAGTTCTACCATGCCTTGGACTCGGAGAATATGACCAAAAGTCACCAGAACTGTAAGTCATCTTCTTCTTTTCYTTCGCAGCTTGGGCTAAAAGGGCAGCTTCCCAGCTCCTCCATACGCAGTGGAAAACCTCAGTGCACCTTGTGCGTGGGGCGGGTGTTTATGTGGGTTTTTATATTCTCTGGGGGCAGAACTCACCGCTTGCAAGCAGCTAACGCGCTACGGGGTGTGCCGGGCTGCACCTTGCTGCTGATGTTTCCACGGGGTTTGATTTTGCCACACTTTACCTCTGAGTGACAGGTACTCTTAAGAAATCTCTGTCTATCTGAGGGATAACACACAGATAATGTAAAACTGGGAAAATATGAGTTTGGTTGTGCTAGCTTGTCTGTCTGCTGCCTGTCTTCAGCAGGCCACACATTTGCATTTCCTATCTCCCACATAACATTGCAATCAAATAATTTTGAGGCACATCTTAAGTTTCTGTCCTTAGAGGTGTCTGTTTGTTTGGAGACAGCATAGATGCACTAACGTACAAATGGGAAAAAAAAAACAAAACAAAACCACACCTTACAGTAACTGTGATCTTGGTCTCTCTGTGCCTCAGCAAAAAAGACCACGACTTACATCGTGTCTGCAGGGAATTAGTCCCTCCAAATATACTTAGAAAAAGTATTCCTGTACTTTTCAGAGAAAAGTAGCAGCAAAAAATAACTGCCTGACAGCACCAAGGGAATATGTATTAGCTATAGTGGCAAGGATACAGCGCAGCTTAGAGTTGAAATGTTATTTGAAAGAATATTTGGCAGTGATTAAAGTTTATGCTGTAGAACAGTGTTGGTATGAATCATGCTGTTTCCAGAGCTGTTAAAAAATATATACCATACTCATGGAAAGTTGTCTGGGAATCTGTTTGTTAAAATTGCTTCTTAGGAAATCTATTTTTGCTTCTAACAGCATAAAAGTAACTAGTGATATTCCTAGGTGGGGTGTGCGTGTCCTACGTTGGGTTTGGGGGAGTCACGATGAGTAACGAGTGGGGCTGCCGTGGGGCTGCTGAGTTAYGTGTGTAAGAATGGGACGGTGCTAGAGGGGATGGACAAGGAGCATTGGCAGCTKCTTGGGTAACAGGAGAGAGGCTCCATGGTGGCAATGGATTAGATAAGACCACTGAGTCAAGCCTTGACCCTGCCAGGAATCTGGGACAGGCTCTAGAAAGAGTCTCGACCAGGCTGGGGTGGATGATGTTCCTCCCTTTGACAAGTAGGTTGAGCTCAAGTAGAGCACAAGTTACATTTGATGCCATGTGGGGCTCCTGCATCAGGCCATGTCCCGCCAGCACTGCTGTTAGGTGTGAGCCCTGATCTTGAAGTAGTCAAGGAAAGGTCTGAAGGGGTCAGTTACACCAACAAAATTGCCCCTGGCTCCTCAAAGTGCAATAAATAAATATTTAATAAAATAAATGTTTAGGGTCAGACTATAATGGGTGATTCCATGATGCATGTAGTAAGAGAGGATCAGTGTGGGAGATGAATGGTCYTGCCTGTAGCAGGACCATGAGTCTCCACCACCAGCACAGGGACCATTTTTGCCRCAGAGAAACACGACCTCTGGCCTCAAGGCCAGGGAGGCTTCCTGCCAGCGCCCTGGTGACACCAAGGCAAGGAGGCCACAAGCTCTGCCGAGGAGCCCCTTGGCTTCTCACTGCAGGCCACGTTGCCGAGAGGATGTCCAGCACACACAGGAACCAGGCAGGTTGCTCCTTCTCCCAGTCCATGCTCATTTATACAGAGAAATACCCATCCCACAGCYTATACAAAGCAACGCGAGCCAGGATACAAAGGCAAGCACGGAACTCGTATTCACCACACTTTATTTGTGAAACAATCCTTTTTTATTAAGCATAGGCTATACATTCATACAACAGCATAGCCATCAGTTCTGACACTGCCAACCCCCTTGTGTCGTAAAGACCCATAGGAAAGAGAGGGAGGAGACAGAAAAGAGAGAGCAGGAGAGAAGCCTCGAATGAGTCTTTTAGATAGCAGCAGAATTCATTCCCTCTCCTTCCCTCCTATTGACTAGCAAGTCAAGCTTATTGCAGTTTTACTCTACTGCAATTATTTTTCCTTGAGATGAAATCACAACATGGCATTCAAAAAGCCATAAYGGGGTTTGTGTTCTTGGCTGGAAGCATAGCTGTATGTACAGTATGAAGGACTTGATTAGTCCTCATCAAATGGAAGATTAGAATTTATTTGGCACTATTTAGCACACCCGTTTTTTTCACAAGTTATGCAAGCAAGATGAAAATCTTCATCTTTATGCATAAAAGATTGACTGCAGAGTTACATTTTCCAATTCAGCACTTAATAGTCTGTAACTGCTTCCATTTAGGGTCTGGTCTTGTTCCAATTAAAGCCACTGGGAATTTTGCCTTTGCCTTGAGTGGGGAGCTGGATGTGACCATGTGGGCCGTGTCATTTGGAAGCACACAGCAGAAGTTGGACAAGCTTTCCAGATGATTCATATTTTTTCAAGGGTTTCTCAGCAGTTCGAAAGCAGACTCTGTGCCCAGTTAAAGACACCCCTGCCTCCTCTTGTTTCTCATCCATATCTAGGGAATATATACAATTTGAACATGTTTCATTGGGCAGTTCCCAGTTCTATCAGGATGCAGGTAATGTGTATTACAAAAGAAAGGGAGAAGCTCGTTCAGAAGCCAGACTTGCACGCAGAGGTGGTGACAAAGTCACATTTACAAATACATTAGTAATTTGCAAGATTGCTCCGAGGAGGGATTCTGCTGTACTTTATTATATCAGAACATGACATGCTTTGAAAAATAATAATAAAAAAGATTAAAGCAGTAAAAAGCTTCTTTGTAATGTAACAGGCGCCTACACTATGACTCTTATTGATGAGCTGATGATTAGGAAGCAGGGTAATTATGTTTCACAAGCAGAGCAGAACAGTCCAGTCACTGAAACACTTTGAAATGAAAGCCTTTTGATTTTGTTCCACCAGAAGTATTTAATCAATAAAGGTAATGTTCTACTTTGTCTAAATAAATTAAATGCTGGATGATGAAATACTCGGGAAGAAAACAAAACAGCAAACTTGTAGGAAGATAAGCACAGGAACAATCATCTGCAAAGCAGGTGCTGCCTTTCACAGGCCTGGACTGTACATTTGTACGTGGACTAGGTAGGAAAAACGCTCATTAAATGGAATAGCCCCCGTTACTGGCCACATTCATAGGGAATCTTTCTAAACAAGGAATCAAGTTCTAGTCTTGYTGAGTCAAATTACATTGTTTCAGATTAATTTGGTGACATACAATGTTTGTGTACAAAAGCTCCTTGAAAAGAAAGATTGTCAAAGTGTTCAAGGGTTAGTTGTGGCAGTTCCCGCTCCCTGTGACTGCTTCTGCTTGCAAGCACAATTCCTCTGAGATGTTAGGTGTTTAGTTATTAGTGCTTGCATGCTTCAGCCCTAATCATATCACTGTTATCAATAACATTTTTCCCCAATTGACAACTATAAATTGCACAGCAATATTAATTGCTTTTAAGAAATGGCTAAGAGGAGGCACAGCATCATAAAACCTTGCATCCCAGAAGTCCCAAACTCCATACTGATATCTCTTTCTCTTCAAATATTGTAAAATACATCTTTGGGGGAGTGTCCCCTTTCAAACATCAAGATGAAATGTGGAGTTTATTGTCAATTTATTTCTTGAGCTACACAGGCAAGTTCAAAAATACCTGGAGTTAAATTTGTATTATTTATCTGTTTTTCTTAGGGGTCCTGGCTTCTTCTAGCCTGCTATTTTCAAGCAATTACAGAGCCACAGTAACAATATAGTTTAATCAGCATCCTTGTTTTCTTTACTAGGCAAAAGTCCCATTTATCATTCGTGACTTCGTTACATTTTTAGGATTGATGTTATTTCTTCAGCATCATAAGACCCATATTGTGCTAGTAACATCTTCACTTTATTTGTAGTGTTGATATCCCCATCTCTTAACTCCAAAGCACAAAAAAAAGAGGACTGCCAAGGGTTTAAGCTCTAAGACTTTCTGTGTTTTTTTTCCTTTGAAATCATCTGGCTCCTGGGATTATATATCSTCTAAACACGGTAACTCCTGACTGGTCTGCACAACTAAATTCTCTGTTTCAACAAATCATCTTGGGAACCTAAACTGAGGCACAYGTAGAACCGGGGCTTTGGAGAACCTTGTAGTCAGCAGCTTTGTTTGGGGGAAGAATCCTAAAACCCCCCCAGTGCCAGTGATTTTCCCCTGGCTCGCTGCACGGCTGCCCAGCGTTTCAGTGCAGTCCCTGCCCGCGCGCGTGTTCTGTTTAAAGGGAGCCTTTCCTTGCTCCGCTGCGCTGCTCCATTATCCATGTCTCCCTGCCCCTGTTCCTCAGTGTGCGCCAAGGGCCAAGTGGTGACGGGCCAGTACCGGCTGCTCGCCAAGCACGGCGGCTACGTGTGGCTGGAGACGCAGGGCACCGTCATCTACAACACGCGCAACCTGCAGCCGCAGTGCATCGTCTGCGTCAACTACGTGCTCAGGTAGGCCGGGCGCCCCGCGGGGCGCAGCGCGCCCCTCGGCAGGCATCTCCCGAGGGTTGATCTGTTCACTGGGTGCTGGTGCTCGGCGGGCATCGGGTTAGTCGTGTTTGTGCTGTCCTGTTTACCGGTGTTAGGCACTGGTTGAAAGTGCGGCGTGCCCGTTCCCGTGCAAGCTGCTGGAGTCCTCTGCAGGCTTCCTTGCTCCTTCTGTAGTCCGTGCTCTGCTAGAACAAAGGATGAAGTCTGCGCTGAAGATTTTGTTGTATACTATCATACCTTTTGTTTTCCTGACGCTGTGATGGAGAGATAAAATCAAGTAGTCGTTGCAGCTTGCGTTGCTAGGAYGAGCTGCCTTCCCCCTCAAAGATCAGCACTGCAGGGTAGTCCGCTTGGCAAAGCTCAAGTATTTTTGGGCACAGAGGAGGCCAAAATAGGAAATATTTAATTGAGCAATAGTCTGGGTCACCATAGCCTCAGCTACATCCCTTTAAAACCCAGAACAACAAAGCCCCGAGTATTCCCACAGAAATCCTGACCACATTCTCTGCGTCATTTGAGATTGTGGTGCTCAGCAACGCTGGACCCGTGCCTGGCCTGTCAGGAGTCTGGCATGCGAGTGAGAGAGGCCAAAACRTTTTTAAAGGCCTGATCTTTAAAGAGTTTATTACCTATGTTATCCACATCTCTTTTTTTTTAGAGTGCAAAATGCCTAAAACCTATTTTCTTGTTAGTGAAATTGAGAAGAATGATGTTGTGTTCTCTATGGACCAAACGGAGTCTCTCTTTAAACCTCACCTGATGACGATGAGCACCACCTATGAGAACGGGATCCCCGTGGCCGAGAAGAGCGACTTCTTGTTTACTAAACTAAAGGAAGAACCAGAAGAACTTGCTCAGCTGGCACCAACACCCGGCGATGCCATTATTTCCCTGGATTTTGGTTGGTACTTCTATAAATACATTTTGTGAGACAAAGAACCGCAGAGGAGCCTACCTTTAGCAACCTAATGGGCCAGGTCTGTTTGCTGTGTGTATAAATCAGCAGTAGTGGCCATAGAAGCCCACACGCTCTCACCAATGGAAAATTTCTGTGAATGAGAGCAGAATCTGGCTTTCTTGCTGACTAAACAGCGTGCACTGAGTCTGTGCCAACTCACTGTCCTGGCAACTAGGAGCAGAGTTTATTTTTAATGAATAGCTGCAATTATATCATAGCACAGCACGAGATCACCAAGCTAAAAGCATCTATTAATATTGTTAAACCTCCATCCAGGGACGCAGAAGTTTGAGGAGAGCCCTGCCTTCACGAGCGTGGCCCTGACGCCAAGCAAGCCGTGGCCGGTGGAGGGGCAGAGCCGCGCTGCGCAGGGCGACGCGCTGCCCATACCGGCTTTCACGAGGCCGCAGATGGCCCCTGGCAGCAGCACGCCAAGTGCAAGCAGCAACAGTAGCTGTTCCACGGTGAGGAGAGCTTTCTACAGCGTTCGAACTGGCAGCTTGTAGGTAGCTCTCATCAGTGTGGGCGGGTCGCAGAATAATCTCACAGAATCACAGACTGGCTGGGGTTGGAAGGGACCTCTAGAGATCAGCTAGTCCAACCCCCTGCTCCAGCAGGGACACCCAGAGCACGGGGCACAGGGCGGCATCCAGGCGGGTTTGGGAGATCTCCAGASAAGGAGACTCCACAGCCTCCCTGGGCAGCCTGTGCCAGGGCTCTGGCACCCTCACAGTGAAGAAGTTTCTCCTCACGTGGAGATGGAACTGCCTGGGTTTCAGCTTACACCCATTGCCCCTTGTCCYGTCCCTGGCCACCACTGAGAAGAGCTTGTCCCCTTCCTCCCTACATCCTACACGGATGATGTTTCCGTGTTAGCGATCTTGTCTCAGTGCTTATGCAGAGGGCCAGGGCACCTGTATCCCTACTGCACTGCATATAGCTAAACACCAACAGCAAAATCATCCCATGGGAGCTATATCCCTGCCTTTGCACTGCAATCCTTGCTTTCCCCCAGCTATGCCGCAGTAATTATGACAATGACTAGTAGCAAAAGCCGCTCCTGCCTTTAACAGTTAGCCTATAGGATCCTATAGACACAGTCCTGCTGTCTGTTTTACATTGCAAAGATCTCTTACCGAAGAACACAATATAAATTATACAATACTAAGTCATAAGTGGTTGTCTTGCTGCTTCTAAAAGATTTTTATTTCTGTGTAGCCAAGCAGCCCGGAGGATTACTACAGCTCTGTGGATGAAGATCTCAAGATTGAGGTGATTGAAAAACTCTTTGCCATGGACACAGAATCAAAGAATCAGTGCAGCTCCCAGGTAAGGAACTAACAAACTCATCCTAGCAGGTAGTAGAGATGCATCTTGTATGTACAGGTACAGTGGCGTAACATGCAAGCTGCATTTGCACTTTAGGACTTTGAGACTTTTCAGTAACAAAAAACAAACAAACAAAAAGGCTTCTAAAAGCTTAGGTCTACATTTCTGGGCCTGGGTGTCACTGGTGAAACCTCTAAGAAAAAACAAGTCAACAGCCTTCAGCGTGTGGAAGCTTCTAGAGCTAGAGAAGGAATATAAGCAACATTTTTTTAATTTAGCTAGTAAACATCCTTTCTAGAGCAAAATATAAATAAAGTCCTACAAAAAAATCAAAATGAGAAAGGAAATGCCTCTTGTGGCCATGTCTCCTGTAACTGCAAAATGAAAACTGTAACTTTGGACATACTGTTCTTGACTTATCTTTTGGAGGATTTGTTCCTGTGTGGGTCAGACAGAGAAATTTCTTGCACATAAAGTGACATCCTGCAGTCACCATCTTCTTGCACGGTAATTGGGATATAAGCATAGACATTCTCTCTATTATYAACTCTCTTTATCATCCACTGTTGCAACAGTACATCAAGTGAGCTCCTGGATAAAACACGTAGGCCCGATTCAGCAAACGTAACTTTAGGTACTCAATTGAAGTGCCTTTGTTAAGTKTTTATATTTTTTAAGCCATCAAGAGAGAGGAAACAGGCATTGAGGGGATGGCAGCTCAGACCTTAGACACCCATTTCCTTCCACTAGTCCTGTGSAAAGTCTGGGGAGGAAGTCTGGAGTCCAAAGGCAGTGCCTCCGTTTGCCAGTGTGCCTTGCAAGCTTAGTAGGATACTTAGTAGGATACTGTGATAATTATTATTAACCTTTCTTCATGGAGGGTCTTAATGGACTTCAGGAAAGTAGACTGCAGTCCATGTCTGGAAGATATTTCAGTATATTTTCAGTATAAGTTTGGACATAGCCTCACCAAAACAAACACAAGCAAACAAAAACAGTAAAAAGCAGGGTCAGAGGTGGGGTGAGGGGGAAATATGGACCCAGATCAAAATCAGTGCGAAAGCCTGACACCTGCAAATGTGAATTCTGTCAAGTTCAGCCTCTGCTTGCTTAGGTGTGTCACATTAAATTAGCAGGTAGTTTTGGGGGCCGGGGAATGAGTGTTAAAGTAATGCCCCTCTCGTGAACTGTCTGCTGGGCTAACATTAATTTCCCTATTTATCTCTGAAAAAAAAATAGTAAGAATAATAATAGGGACAAGATAATAATAAGACGCAGATACATTAGTATATCTCCCACTGCACCTCTAGAAACCTTTTTACATTTTAGATGTACATTTTCATGTAGCTAGACAGGCAGAAAGCTTTGTTTTCTATTACCAAGATAAAGCCTGAGGTTAATCTATATGCCACAGGTTGTAGAGTCTTGGCAGACAAGCTATTGAAAGCTCAGTGAAATACAGAGACTAGTTCACGTCCCACTCATGTGACAGGCTGCATGAAGCTGCCCTAGCACGCACTGCTCATCTGGGAGCCTAGCAGGGTTTTTCCTCTATTTGTCCTTTACTGATTTTATGATAAATATACATGCTATTCACAGAAGTAAGGTATGTCTTTAAATAGGAGCAGACCGGTTTCATTTAAGTAAATTTAGGAGCAGAGACGTTTCATTTCAGTAAATTTAGCATGTGCTGATTCTTCAGGCTCACCTCTACTAGTATTTCATGTGACACTAACTGTCATAAACTTATTATCAACCTTTCTTTATGGACTTCATTTATTTTTGTGCAGACTGATTTCAATGAACTGGACCTTGAAACCTTGGCGCCTTACATTCCTATGGATGGAGAAGATTTCCAGCTCAGCCCAATCTGCCAAGAAGAACGTCCTCTTCCTGAAAGTGCACAAAATACCCAGCAGAGTCTCAGTAGCATGAGTACCATCTTCCAGCCTCTTGCTTCTGCTTCACAGAACCAGTACCTCCCAGACAAGTATTGCCCACAGCTATCAAATAAGAACATTAACCCAGGTCATGGGTCCCTATCATCTGTGTTCTTCAACAACATGAGTAGGTCATCGCTGCCACCATACCATGACCAAGCCAGCACTCCCCTGTCTTCAATGGGAGGAAGACCAAACACGCAGTGGCCACCTGATCCCCCGATAGAATATGTTCCTACTAAATGGAGACTCATGGATAAATACTCAGGATGCTTATCAAGTTCCTCCTCAGGGCCGCCACTACATTCCCCCAACATGCTCCTATATAAAAAAAGGTAAGTGTTTCTGTGTGCTTTAGGATTTGGGGTTTTTTTTGGTCAGAGTGTTGGAAAGTTGTTCTTATCTGTGAGACGGAATAAGTTGTTTTGCTGGACATAAGGAGTAATGGTAGCTCAGGCTGCACTTCTGGGGCAATCCGTGTGGTACTGTCCCTGTGACAGTCCAGCTAGTGAGAGGAGTTGGGCTGTTAACTTCTCATCACCTGTAAGGAGGCATGAGTGGGTTTCCTGGTAGCCAGGTAATTACTATACAAAGTTTGCAAAATCATCTTTACTTTATGCAGTTTAGAAAAGTTCTGAAAAACCTGTGGRTTTTTCCTTCCATCTCTGATGCTGAGACCGCTGCTTACCTTATCTTGTATGTATTTTTTGCTCAACACACACCAGGAGAGCGGGAGGGAGGAAGAGTGAATAGGACAACTACCTTTATTGTTGCTTCATGCAGGTGCTATTTAACTAAGATTTAGAGTTGCTTTTTCCTGCAGCCATCTTTCTTTTGATCACTTTCTTGCACATGTGAACAGCATTGGATGAAATTGTAGCTCAAAGGCTACAGCCCTACAAGTGTCTTACCCTTTTCAAACAGCTCTTGGGCTGCCTGCAGAATGTGGGGCTTAAGTGTTGCTCACACTGAAACAGTCAGGAAGGGCACAAAATAGCACKGGTCATTTTTAAGCATGGAGCTGTGCGGTTTACCTGAAATCTCCATTGKTTTTTTTTTAAGTTGTTGGCAGAAATTTGCATTTGTAAAAAGGTTTGTCCCTGAACAACTTGTGTGTCCAGACTTGGCATGCAAAACAAGAGGACAGGCATGGCTCTCAAATTCCTGCCCTCTATTCCACAGCAGTTTTTATGTCTGTCTGAAGATTTCTAGAGGCAATTTATACCAGACTTTTATTAGTCTTTGATCTGAAAAGCCAKAAGTCTCCAAGGCTTGCAAAATAACTGACAAAAACAAAACAGAATAGTTGATGAAATGCTTGAGTTGTATCTACTGTTACATGCCAAAGACACCTTAAATGAAAGCAGAATTTGTATCTGAACTGGGTGGTTTAGATCTGCTTGCCCGTTCACTCACCCACAGAACKTTTCTTAACAGGCCACTGGATGCTTTTGGGCAACAACGTATAGACATAAACCCAGCGAGAATTGCTCTGACCAACAGTTTGAAACTGAAGCGACAACTGGATTATGAAGAGCAAGCRTTGCAACAGCTGAGTGGGGTAACTGTAAGCAAAGCTTTCCCTTCCTTCCAGATCTTGGGCACATGAAGATCATGAATGTCTTTTTTCACTTTGCTGTTCTTCAAATCCTAGGGCGACCCATCTGTCATTAACCCATCTCAGCTGATGTGGAAGAGAATGAAGTTTCTCAAAGGTGAAAATTGTTCCTTGGTTACAGAGAAGAAGTCACTCAGCACAAGTGTTCTTACTGGTAAGACAAACTAAATTGTTTTCGCAAGGCACACTCCTGAAACGAAATTTTATGTCAGTTTGAATAGAAACTAATACTCCTTCGAGAGGAAGATGATGTTAACAAGTCCTGGAAAAAAATTACGATCACCTAAAATTAAAAATCAGATTATATGACTAAGAGCTGAATAGTTCAAAGTGCAATTGATAATTGCCAACTAGGTCACTTCATACATGGTCACACTTACTGCTTTGAAGATAGCAGAGATCAGCTCAATGGAGATGTGGTTCCCTTGCACTGCACCAAGCAAGGTGATGACATGTCAGAGCTAGAAAAGCTGCTCCAATGCTTTCTGTCCATAAGACTGTGTTTCATTGTGCAAACTCACCTTGGCTGCAGTGCTGCTTCCAGAGCTAGCACTGCTCCTGGACTTCTTTGCTACACATCTAGATATACCTCAAGGTCACTTGGCTGTTCATTACTTTTATCTGTAGCATATGAGAGGCTTAATTTACCTTTTTTCTTTTTCTTCTCCTTCTTTGAATAAGATGACTTTATTTGTAACTCGAGAGGTCTGAGCCAACCAATGAACCAACTGCAGCAGCAGCAACTGCAGCAGCAGCAGCAACCCCGCTGCGGCAGTCCTGGTGAGACTCTGAAAGCAGGAACTTTCCCCTCTCAGTTTTACAGTCCCCATTATCAGGACTTTGCTGCCCAGCCAACTCATAAAGTGTCAGGTAAGAGCAATCAAATTCAAACTAAACAACCAACTTTCAAATTTTGTAACTGTAATGTTCACATGTGACAGGTATGGGTTAAATGATTTTTTGCCCTTTGTTTTCAGTTGAACTTAATACCTTTTTACCTGAGAGGTCTAGTCATCCTCTTGCATATTCTTGTCTTTCGATAGAATTGGCTAGAGTTTAGTAAACTTAAGTAAGTGCAGCTTTGATACCAGAGATTTGTGGGTTGTGGATTCCAAAATTAAAAAGGGGGGGGGGGGGTGCGAAACATATAGAGTTGGTGTCAATTTAGAAAACTCCCTTGCTGACTCCATCTTTCTTGGTTTGAGCTGGTATCCTTTCCCCCAGCGGGGGCGGAGGTGGAAGCCTCCCCGGAGCAGCAGTGAGACCGTCAGGGTGATGCCTACAGCGGCTGACACACTCTGCAAACACAGCTCTTGCTCTGGGGCACACTGACCTCACCACAAAACGAAATTAATGGGTGCAAGCAGCAGAGAGGGAGCGAGGAAACAAGGCGCCTCTGCCTCGCTCTGCTCTTCTGCCACCGTGGCTTACGGGAGYGCTCCCTTTCAGGTATGACAAGTCGTCTGCTGGGGCCCTCCTTCGAACCGTACCTGCTGCCCGAGCTGACGAGATATGACTGTGAGGTGAACGTCCCCGTGCTGGGCAGCTCCACGCTCCTGCAGGGCAGCGAACTGCTCCGGGCGCTGGACCAGGCCACCTGAGCAAGCCTGCAAGATTCCTCGGCCTATACTGTTCAAACAGCTTCAGTTTTTAAATATATTTTTTTTGCAAGTAGACAATTTCTAATACCAATACACTTTTACAGGATTTTACTTAGATATTGAACCTGTCCACGTTACCAAATAGTGGCCTTTTGAAGTTACTCACTTTATTATTCATATAAAGAAATACATCTACTGTATTTTCTCTATTGCAATTAAAGTGTTGTTTAGAGAGTTTGATTGCCCTCCCCTTATCTTGTTGCCTGTAATTTATACTCTAAAATTTTCTTCAATTTTTATGCTAATAAAAAGCTGTGGTATAAATGCCTCATCATGTGATACTTTGGCTGCAGTACTGCAAAGACTTCTTTTTATTGCCAAAGATAAATGCAACAAATTTGATCTCTGACCACAGTTTTTTGTTGTTGTTGTTGATCTGCCATATGAAAATCCTTTGAGTCTTTCTATTTACCAGCATTTATCATATTGTAACTCTAATAACATTTGAAAAGCATACTGAAGGAAAAAAAAAAACACACAAAAAAACAGGTCTTCTGACTTATCCCCTTCCCTTATTTTAATACTCTTTGTTGAAAGAAATGTGAATGGTGAACTGCAATGTTTGTGGGTATCTGTGAAAGTTGCACAGTGAAGTTTTTTTCCCCTCAGAAGCAAGCCAGATTCTCAGCCGACTTAACCTGGCTTCGCTCTGTGGCCATGGGAGCCCTACAGATTTACCCCAGTGGAGGATTTAGACCTGTATGGTTGCTTTGTGATGGGGCTTTCTGGTTTTGTTCTTGTTTTTTACTTTTATTTTTACACAAAGCAGCTTTTTTTTCTTTTTTTAATTCTCTCTGGGTCAATTGGTAATCATCTCTTGGTACTTTTGCTATATCTAGGACACAACTTCTTAAGAGCTCTTTCTGCTAGAACTAGTACTACTTGTTATGGTGTTGCTGATACTTCCAGAATCTGTCCCGCGGCCAGTACTAACACCTCTGATTAATGTTAGCTTCTATACATTTTATATGCAGCTAGCAATATAACCTACAGTACTGAATCATTAGAACTAAAAGTTTAAAGTAGTACTTCCCAGTGTATTAGGCTACTCAGTTACAAGTAGACAAGAAAAGGATTAAGGATTGTGTAGTGAGATCAGTAGCTGGCAGACAGTTCTCTACCATTTAACTTGCCTTATATTAATCAATGGCCAAAATATCATTTAAAAGGCAGCCAGATATTTTCAGATCTCCTTTTCAACTATCATCCATTATCATGCACATATTTAAAAAAAAAAAAATAAGGTTTTGAATATTTTCAAAGGACGGGAAGGAATAAATTGTAGAATACTTAATACAGCAAAAATATTCAAGTTAATGATAAAAGGCAGGTGAGTAGTTCTGATTTTGAAATATGCACAAACCTAGATATTTGCTGGAATATGTCATCCTCCTTCCTCCACTGGTATAAATCATTGTAGCTGCGTTGAAGAAAATGGAACAGTGGCAATTTACACAAGGTAAAAACGTGGCTCAGAAAGTAGTTCTTGGAGCAAAGCTATTCCTGCAGACTTCCACTGAAGCCGGTTCCCTACAATTGCTTTTATCATGAACTGACGCTTGCAGAAAAGGAGCCTTGAGTTCATGGAGCACTTCAGAGCTGATTGAGTCTTAACCATATATACTATGCACACTTAAATTAAAAAAAAAAAAAAAAAAAAAAAAGCTGAAGATCTTTTGCTATTGGTACATAGCATAAAAAAGTATGATAGTCCCCTACTGCAAATCTTTTTGAAAGTTCATTACCAGAAATAAGCTACTCTTAAAGTGAACTTATATGGAAAAATGTATTGTAAGTATAAAAATCTGCAGGAAATTGGCAAGCCAGCTTTGACCAACTATTTGCAGTGGCAAGGGCTTAAAGGCTTCAAGGATTAATGACACTTGAATCCTGCTCTTCTGTTTCTTATTTGTGTAGCTTCAGCATTAAAATGTTATATCCTAACAGTTTACTAAAACACTCTGAAAGAATATTCCATGTCTTAATATTAATCATACTTTTCATCATAATTATTTCGTAATCTATATTGCTGAATTCTTATTGACAATATTATAACTGTATGGGAACTTTAACTTGATAAGGAAATGTATTTTGACACTGATACCTTATTAAAGTATACTGATCCTAAATACTTTGCGACTCATTTGCTATGAATTTGTCATTTGTTGTATCATTGTAAAACGAAAGTATTTATTAAATTATTTATAGAAAATAAAGGTTTGCATTGGTCTTTGAAGACTGAAAGAACAAATCAAGGTATCTGAGGTTGGCAGCTGGGGAGCAACCTGACGAGGCCCTTASTGCTAATCTTACTGTAGCCGTCTGCAGGTGGGGAACGCAGGTTCCTCGGACGGCGTGTCAGGGCCCCGCACTCCGGCCTGCTGGAATGTTTCTTGCCATTCAGATGACTACTTCAGCTCCGAAAGTGGATTCCTCTCTGAGAGCAAGGGGCACCTTTTTTAATGCTACTCAAAAACRAACGAAACAAAAACGATAAGAAAGCCGATTTGACACGATGACCACCTGCCTCGAGGCAGGCTCGTTCATTTTCAGAGGCTACAGTTGCTGGTTTCAGGTTTTGGGGCAGCAGCTGAGCCATCGGCACTACCTCTGGCACTCCTGCCCCATCCGTGAAGGACGCTCTCCACTGGGCACACCGACCTTGCTCCTTACTGAACTTGCCCTTCTTTCTTATATTCTTTTGCCTGTGCAGCAGCACTCACGATGCTGTAGGAGGATGGACGTTAATAATCTCATTTTCAGCCACACACTTAAATTCAGCGTGGACTCCGTGGCAGCTACTGCTKCTTAACCCTTCTGCTGAGGCCATTTAACATGTAGCTCCAGAGTGAAGCCACTGAAGAAGCGACCTGGAGCAGGGAGAGGTAGAGGACAGACCCTATCAGCGCCACATCTCCACATGATTGGAAGCTGGACAGAGGTAAAAGTAGAGCAGAATCCTTTGCTTCTGGATCTGCTGTAATTAAGAGTAATTAAGGGCAGCTCACCATGAAATCCCGACCGTGGAGGGGCCTGCCTGATGCTGTGGCTGCATCACCCCCTGGAAGCTGCCCCTTGGCTTCAGGGCACGTTGAGGGTCCTGCGCGGGCAAAGCCAAGCTCTTACATAGGACCTGGACTGAGCCCAGTTGTAATTTAAGCACACCCTGCTTTACTCTCCGTATTCAGGTGCTGGTTTCTGTGTGCTCAACTGCAGCTCAGTGCTAGCAGTGCTAGCTTAGTGCTTCTAAGTGCTAGCTTGGAGCTCGTCTCCAGGGAAGAAGCAGTAACCAGTCGCCTCTCCCCTCAAATACTTTCTCAGAGAACACACACCTGTCGCCTACAGCTCATTTTTAATTTCTACTCCAGCAAAAAATCCTTATGTTATTGAGYCTTGTGTTAGCCTATGAATGTGCTAGAGCGTGAACCTCCTACTCTAATTTCTGTACCAAAAAAAGACCTAAATCCTAGCCAAAAAGCCAGACATGTAATATACAAATGGCATCAATAGCTGAACTTTGTTCTGCTTAACAGTGTTTCATTAAGATTTTTTTTYCCTCGAAAACCTTTTTTCCTACTAGGCCAGTAGATGTGCTTATGTCCATGTGCATCTTTCGCTGCCTAAAAGTACCATATCTTTATCATTGTATCTGGCATCTTTAACGGCATTGACAGAAATAGTCAGAATTATGTTGTTTGGACCTTACTAGGTCCTTCTGAAAAACAGGCTATACAATCACATTTTATAGATATAACAATCATATATATATATATAAAAATCACATGATATAGGCTGGTCTCAGAGTTGGGCTAATTTTTCAAGTTCAGCTTTTTGAAATGTTCAAGCTATATTTTTTTTTCCTAGTACCAGCCTGAACAGCTGAACCTGTTTTTAAAAATTACTAGAGGGGGAAAAAAAAAAAAAAGTACCATTTGCCCCAGTTTTACTTGAGACCCAATTAATAAACTTGTATTCAGTGTGACAAATATACATATAGCAGAACTGTGCTATATGTTAAAAAAAAAATTTACAAACTTAATGAGCCATCCCTGCCATAGGTACTAGTCAAAGACCTTCATGACACATTTTTTTGGGGGGAGGAATGCAAGGAAACCTAACAGCATTTGTTCCTGCACTGTTTCTTGGTACTGGTGACTTGAGTAATAAAGACACAGCAACRTAAACGTGCTCCATGTCTCGAGGTAGTGCAAGTGATTGCTCCAGCCCTGGGTGGGTTTGGCAGCCCGTGCCTGGCAAAGCCCCGGCTCATGTGCCCATCCTGCCTTCCCTAGAGGATTCAGCCCCGTCCTGAACAGCAGTGGGAGCCTGGCTCTCGGGTGTCTCGACTACAGCCTCCGTTTCATACAGTCAGGCTGTTTATCACGACCTTACAGGTAAACAAAACAGTACGGAGAGTTCTCAGCATCCTGATATAAAACACCTAGAGAACTCGGCGCAAAGTCCGTGTTTTCAGACAAGCCCTCAGTTTCCCAAGCCATGGAGAGGAGGCAGCTCATCACGTTTGCTTGCAACAGGAGTGGGTGTGTGGATAGTGCTTCAGTCCAACACCCACCCTCTCTTGTTCCAGCTGGTGGAGGTTTCCTCAGTTAATTTCCCTGAGCAGCTTTATAAAGCCATTCGCATGTACAGCCAGTACATGTGGAATGCAGGACTACTCACATTTAAATAAACTGCATTGTTTTCTTCTCTTCTTCCCCCACACCTCCCAAGTGCAGACTTCCTGAGAGAGGAAGAAATGATTCCCAAGGATCAGTGAGAGGAGCTTTGCCCCTCTTTCCTTAGGCAGGCAAGCCCAGCTCTCCTAAGCGGCTGCTCCCCTTGTGCMAGGCAAGGCACGGGACAGCAGCAGCCTCTGGGCTACCTGGGCCTGCCCGCGAGGCCGGGGAGCTCATCCCTGCCCGCAGGTTTCCACAGCTCCAAGGGCAGCCGGGCACGGGTTCTCAGCCCCTCGGGCACTCCTCATTATTCCCCTTTTCTGTAACACAAACTGTTTTTTTTTTTCTTTTTTCCCCTCTTAGTCAACTGAAGCTACAAAAGCCCCATAGGAAGCTCCAGCAGTTGGCATGAAACCTGTTTTTATGTGACCACATTAGAATGGCTTCAGATAAAGTCAGAAACGCCTCAGTTGCMCTGTTGAAAGGCATCAGCGAGGCTCCTCTCCTCCGAAAGCGTGCCTGCAGCTTTGCCAGGTTGTCATTTACCACAGGTCTCACAGGGAGCATTTTTCTCGAGGCCTCAAACTCCTGTAATCAAGGAACAAGTTAATTCTCTTCGTTAATGCCGTTCAGTTAGTGAGGTGGTGAAGAGCTGCCAAGCTATCTTGTTACCCTGCTCAGGGGGCGCCCGGCTTGCAGAGACAACCTGCAGACGCTCCTGCCTTTGTCACTGAGAAGTCCCCTCCGCTTTCTCCTCTCGCCCATGGTTTATAAGGTGACTGCTGGCGTGTGACCTGCCCGTGGCTGTGCCCCACAGGGAAGGGCGCCGCACTGAGGGCCTGAAGGGCCCAGGCTGCTCCTGCGTAGGCCTGGCCCAGCCAAACCAAGCGGCAYGGCCCGAGCGCCGCCTCCGAAGGGGCCTCCGCCAGCCCCAGCGCTGTGGAGCGGGGCCCTGCTGAGCCCTCGAGCCCCTGCACGACCCCAGCAAGGCCAGCAGCAAAACAGCTCGTCCAGCCACATGCCCCTGTGCTGTTATATTTGCAAGGCAACACAACCAAAGGAAACACACATAATGCTGTAACTCTCTCGCACAAACTAAATCCCACCGGTTCATCAGCTGGGGRCAGTGGCAGTGAAATGAACACAGTGACTCTGCAGCAAAGTTTCCCAGAATAAGATTGCTCCTAAAGACGTCGACAAGTCACATTTTTTTYTCCTAGTTATAACTATTTAGGCAACTGACTTATTTTATTAAAGATTCTTCAATGAAAAAAAAAAAAAAGAAAAAAAATGGAACAGCTACTGCCAAATTCTCTCTTTGTCCTGTGCTCTTTGTTCTTGAGATGTTCATATAGGGCACCTTCAAGATGAAAGAGGAAAGTGCAAATCTGAAACAGCCACAACAGCCCAAAACCCCAAGCTGAAGCCAGTAGCTCCCCGGCATTACTTGGTGCTGGAATTTATGTGAACTTCCAAGGGGAAGCTGCATCCTACGACAATTCAAACGCATGTATTTTCAATTCAGCCCTTCCACCAAGCAGCACCACGAAGTTACTACACTGCAGCAAATGAAGCATAAAATAGATGCAGTCACTGCTCATTTCTAGGCACGGCCTATGACATCCACTGGCTTTTTTCCTGGAAGGACGAGCAATCCTAATTGTCTCTATCACCCCACTGCTAACACAGATAGCGCTGTCATTAACTGCAGCCTCCAAACATACCAAAGGCAAGGGAAAACAAAACTACTATGAAAACAGGTTGCAAACTGTTATTTTAACTGCAATTGCAGTGAATGAAGTGCAGTGAATGAAGAGACGCTTCCCTGYGTCTGTTTTAGCTACATCAATCTGCTGTTTATTACCGTATGTAACCATCCCTCAATACAATTTGTAACAACTTTAATCTGTTTTAAACTGGAGTCGGTTCCTGGATTACATGGTGTCACCATTTTTAGGGTCAGTCTGATCACTGCCAAGATTTTAAAGATAAGGGAGACACCAACAGAGAACACTTTTTGGTCCCAAAGTGGCTTTCTTCCAAACCTCTCTCCCATTTTGCTGCAGAAAAGTTCCTGTGTGTAATGGTAACAGCCTGGCTATATGCACTATATAGTCAAACTATATACAGGTTTTGCTCTTACCTGGCACCAYATTCCGCCTTCCCCAAATCCAATGCCACCCAAATGCCCTGAAAGAGGGACAGAAGCCTGACTTTGTGCACACCAGCAGTGACAGCTTTATACATCTAATAAACACTAACTTGGGCCTTCATTTTCAGAGCACCTTCTCCAGCCTYATCCCTCACAGGTCTTCCCTCCCCTCAGGCATAATCGAGAAGGAAGCACCTTCAGGGAAAGAGAATGTCACCAGATAACTCATCAGGATAACCAGCAAAGGAATTGGGARCCAATGAAACATCTGAAACACTGATGTGCCTCTGAAAGAGGGAGCACCCAAGGCAACAGTGCTGCCATTCTCCCTTTTGGAGCACAGTCCCGGGTGGGCAGAGCTTGTTTGCACTGAGGTTTTGTATCATAAACATGCCCATACCCACCTGACTGGGATTTTGTTCACCCAGGATTTCTTCTGTGCTGCCCAGTACATAAATTCCACAAACAGGTGCTGAAAATAACAAATAGAGTGAAATGTGCCTGTGTTCAGGGCTCAGAAACAAGAGCAGGAGCCTCGGTGCCCAGCACCGTGCAGCTGCCATGCTGCATCTATTTGCCCTGTTGGTTCCAAAACCTGCTCCAGGCTTCCAGGAGAGACCCTTCCACAGCAGGCATGTGTTGTGTGGTCCCCAATGTGCCACCTCCATGTGCAGGACACACTTCCAGCTTCTCCTGCTGAGGCATTTCCCGAGAGATGGCCAAGAACGCAAAGGCTGCGTCCCCCTTCCTCCCTTTGCTGTCTGCTCCCACCAGTGCCCCTTTCCATGGAAATCACTCCCTGCTTGGAGTCCCTCTGRCAAAATGTGACTCACCCCAAGGCAAACAAGCCCCGATGTGTGCAAAGCTTCAGCTGCAGGAGACCAGCTGCAGGGCCATCGATCACCGCTTGTGCAACCCGCTTGGTGCGCAGCGCAGGAGTGGGGCCATCAGCCTGGCAGCCACGACGTCCAGGGCTTAGGGGGTTAAACTGCAGGTGTGCGGAACAGAGCAGAGCCCCTCGAGCCAAACCTTGCTCAGCAGA